CAATTGAAGGCATTCGTCTACAATGTTTGCACGGTGAGGACGGGCGTTGTCCTCCATAAACAGAAATTCAGCACCCATGGCGCCCCGAAACAAATGTACATGTTGTTCCAGAATAACATCCCGATAGATGTGGCCTGTCATCGTTACATTCTGAACATGCAGGTCAGTTCTGGAACCAAGAATAATTCCTCCCCAAACGAGCCATCCTGCACCACCGTAACGGTGTCGTTCAATGGTGTTCTCTTGGTGGTAACGGGTACCTGGCGCTCTCCATATGAAAGTCTGGCGAGAACCAGACTGCAAACTAAACCTGGACTCGTCGGAAAACATCACACAAGACCACTGTTACGGTGTCCACAATGCATGCTCTCTACTCCAGGTTAATCGCAGGCGACAGTGAGTTGCGGTAAATGGAACACATCTGACAGGCCATAATAGAGACAGACATAAAAAATTTTTACCAGCCATGTAATTACAAAAGGTAACAAACATTGATCTTAGATGCCTCGGTTTCTCATCCTACTCGATTTCATATCATGTATAAAATCGATATCGATTTTGTCTGTCGATATCTTTATACTGATATTGATATAATCGATATCTTTTGCCTTGTGCTAATTTGTAAATAATGAAATAGGGTGGAAGAACTTGTATCGTATTTTCCAATATAAGACATGAAATCGATTATCACTTACTATGTAATAGGAGCCGGGCCTGAAGGCCGAGTGTCTAGCGCACTGTGCCATAGGTTTCGGGTTCGAGTCCCGGTCGTGGATGTTTGTAGTGGTTCGGAATCTTTTTTAAACCTTCGTTCCAGTCTAATATAACTGTTGAGAATTAAGCTGACAACCCTACCTCGTAAAAAGAACACATCACCTATCTCGAAATCTGCGTGTAGGCAGACGATCTTGGCCCACCATAGGGCTGTTTCAATATATATACATGTATATATGCATGTGAACAATATATATACATGTGAATATATGTATATATATTGTTTATGAACATTTATATTGCTGTTAAACTTTTATGTTTTATCGCAACATTAATTTTTCTAAAAATAAAACGTTGCGTACTTATTTTATTTAACTCGTATCAGTAATTCATTTATTAACCACAATAACTTTATATCAGTAATTCACTGTTAATCGTTAATTAATTTTATTTTATCACTTTGTCAAATAGGGCAACAGCAGAACAAATCAAATTTACAACATATCTGGCAACAGCAAAAAATATGAACAAATGAAGTATAAAATAAGGATAAAGATTAAAAACGCTATCATATATAAACAAATCAAAATATTTCAAAAAATGGGTAAAATATCTTAGGAAGATGTCTATAAAATGATATAAATATCACTGCAGAAAAACATCAACAGCAAATATGAAACATAAAAACCCCAAAGCGTAAACAAAAACTTTTGAAATAAGAAATTGAAGGCCAAATGTCAAAGAAATGCCGTAAAATATGGGAAAGTTTAATAGTGCGATGGAAAGTCGCAAAAGAGAAAGTATAAAAGGAAGTTCTAAAAAGAGAAAAAAAGTTACTCTACAGACATAAAAAAACGGAATAAATAAACGATTTATATAAAAAAAAATAATAGTAACAGTGAAAAAAAGCTATGAATTCATGGTTGAATAACTGTAATTTCTCACAGACAAGAAACCAACTGACATAGAAATCTTCGTAAATCACGAACCCTGTAATCAAATAGAAAAAAAAAAAAAGGAACAAAGGCCAATCATTCTACTGTGTCCAAAAAGTAAGACCAATTTTCAATTTAAAATTATCGGAGGTTATAATATTTTTTTTTTCCTTCCTTTTTTAGGTTGTTGGCACTATCCTCGACATCTGTGGGAAATTTGACGTCAAACTATTCATTAGTGTTTGAGTTACGCTTGGCTTTGCGAGACGCTAAAACTGATTCAGGCGATTTTTGAAATGTCTGAATGAATTGAACAAAGAACTGGCATTCAATTTTGTTTGCGGAAACGTACAGAATGTTGCAGAAGGCATTCTGTGAGCATTCCTATGTCGGAGAGAAATGTTTACAAGTGGTATAAACAGTTCAAAGAAGGCAGAGAACACGTTGAAGACGAAGAGCCGTCTGGTTGACCCTCAACCTCAACCGATGAAGCTCACGAGCAAAAAATTAAAGATTTGGTGCTTGCAAACCGTCGATTTACAATTAGAGACCTTGCTGATGATGTTGGAATTTCAAAAGGTTCGGTCAATTCAATTTTGGGCCTCAAACGCGTCAAATCTTGATGATACCGAAAACACTGAACCGTGTGACTTCTGGCTATTCCCTAAACTCCAAGGATCACTCCGGGGACACCGTTTTGAATCGATTGAAGAGATTCAACGTGAATTGCCGCGCGCTTTGAAGGTCATCCCTGCCAATGAATTTTTAGCTTGCATTGAGGATTGAAAAAAAAGTTTCCATAAGTGCATTGTGTCCTGATGGAATTACTTTGAAGGCGATGAAATAAATTTAGAAAAATAAATAAATAGTTTTTTGAAAAAAAAATAATTGGTCTTTCTTTTTGGGCACAGTGGTATATAAAAAATAATAATAATAGCAACAGTTAAAAAAAAGCCTATGAATTCATGGTTGAGTAACTGTACTTTCACACAGACAAGAAACCAACTGACATAAAAATCTTCGTAAATGATGAACCTTGTAATCAAATAGAAAAAGAGGAACATAGACCAAACATGTCTTATATTTGAGGAAAAGATAATATCTAGAGATAAGAAATACTAATCACACAGTGATATTATCACTGTGGCAAAAATTCGCAGAAAAAAATCGCAAGCGATACATTTTGAAATATAATGACAATGTCCTATAGCTTATGTGGTGATTTTTCAGTTCTAAAAAGGTGATATAAAGGAGTTAATTTTATTATTTACGTGTAGCAAGGGCTGTGTTAAAACAGCATATGTTTTTGAAAAACCATTTAAATAAAATAACTGAGTTTATTTAATATTATTCTATTTAATAATATTCTTTTAAATGTATTATTTAAACTTTATTGATATTATTATTGTTAATAATTATTATTTATATTATTATCATTATTGATAATTATTATTTATATTATAATTATCATTTATAAAATTAATGAGTTTATTAATATTTTCTATTCAATATTATAATTATTATTAAAATTTTTTATTATTAAAATTATTATTGCCATTTTCGAAATTTAAATAAAATTATTGAGTTTATTTAATATTATTTCAATAATATTCTTTAAATTTATTATTAAAATATTTTTATTATTATTACTTAATTATTTTTATTCTGTTTTTGCAAATGCCATTTAAATAAAATTAACGAGTTTATTTAATATTATTCAATACAATAATATTCTTTAAATATTTTTATTATTACTACTATTATTATTAATATTATATTATTATTATTATTATCATTATTATTATTCTCTTTTTGCAAAAGCCATTTGAATAAAATTAATGAGTTATTTAATATTATTCTACTTAATATATTTTTTTAATTTATTATTTAAATTTTCGATACACGTGAGCGTATATTTAAGGTAATTTATTCAATAATAAATCATGGCTAAAATTTTCTTCATCTCAGAAAATTTCTTTTAAAGTAAAGTAATTTACTTCCAGTAATTAATGCAATTTTTAAATTTCATTTGTTTACCACTTAACAAATTATCCCAAGTAAAACTCGTATTTTATTTTTATCTTTTCGGAGTACCGTGAATTACCTCCAGCAAAAATTAATTTTTAATTCTGAACTAAAACGAGAGTTTTGCGTTTATTATTCTAAAAGTAAACACTCGTGATATCCGTACCTATGGTAGCAGTCCTTTTATCGCGATTTCATGTTGTTATGTAGATATTTCCCAAACAATTAGCGAGGCTCTAGGTGTTATTTAACTCGGAAGTTCACAATTAACTAACTAACATCCATTAATTAGATAACTAACATTTTGTACAGGTCCTTTTAATTAGTGTTTGAATGGATATGTTATGTTATATTCATTTATAACTGCAACGATTTTGTCACTATATGTAATACGAAGTGTTTTTTGTGTCCGAATGATCTAAATATCATTCAAAAGACATTCAGTATACCCTTAATAAACTATTATCATCTTCTTCTTCTTCAATAGCGCAACAGCCCCATGGTGGACCAAGGCTCTTCTGCCTACTGGCAGATTTCGAGACAAGAGATGTTTTCTTTTTACGGGGCGTAGGATTGTGGTTGTCAGTCCAACGTTCATTGATCTATTGTCATATTAGGCTGGGACCGACCTACGGCTTAAAGTGGATTTTGAACCACTATAAACATCCATGGCCCCACCGGGACTCGAACACGAAACCTCTGGCATCCAAGTGACCAGAGCACTTGTCACTCGGCTATCAGGCCCATAATACACTATTATGCTACATATAAAATTATTAGATAGTGTAATGAAAATTATACAAAAAAAAAATTAGAGTATGTAATTTATTTTGTAATTTATTTAGCCTGTTTGAGATTAATGAAAATAGTGAAAAATTTTACTTCTAAAAAAACTAAATGTATTTTGCATTTGCCTATCGACAGTTTATTTTATTTATACAATTCTTATTAAAAGAAAAATATATAATCGTTTATTAAAAAATCCTTAAGAGTTATCAGTTTCGAAACGATGAAGCATTGTGTTAAAACTTTTGTCAATGGAAATGTACTTTTCCTATAATCTTCTTCATCAGCTCAACAGCCCCATGGTGGGCCAAGACCGTCTGTCTACTGGCAGATTTGCAGATTTGGTTTGGTTTGGTTTGGTCTGTCCCTCTCCAGTAATTTTGTGCACACTTTAGGCTAATTAGACCGGGAACTTACAGTTTAACTTGGATTCCGAACCACTCACAAACATCCATGCCACCGCCCCGATTCGAACCTGAAAGCCTGTGGTACCAAAGGCCAGAGAGCTAGCCAATTGGCCATCAGGGCGCTAATGTGAACAGGTTCCACCGATTTTTGAACTCAGATTGTTGAATTCAAAGCCCAAAGTGCTAACCATTACACAATAGAACCACTTCGAGGCAGGAGGTGTTTTCTTTTTGTTGGGTTGGGTTGTTCGCTCTACGCCCTATGCTTTTCAGTCATTTTAGATTGGGACCTACGGTTTAAAGTGAATTTCGAAACGCTACAAACGTCCATGGAACAAAGCGTCAAGACACTAATCACTCAGCCATCACAGCTTCGTTTCCTATAATCACTCACAGTAATAAAATAAGCAAAAATATTTTGTTTCCTATTTCCTACGCAATACAATTGAATTTTCCCTTCCTTATTTATTTCATTAATGGATAAAAATATTTTTGTAAGCTCTATGTTTGTGTTTCCATCTTTGGTCGCCAGCAATATCCCCTAAGTCTAGTTACGTCCATTATGTATGGTTATAATCCATTTTAGCTGTCATATAATTAAATAAATCTCAACTCACTGAAATGAGTGTCTTAATTAACTGAGTCTGACAATGTCTCAAAGAATTGATTTTTGATAATCAAATTGAAATGCACGTTGGTAGATTCTTAGTCAGTAATAAGGATCTGACTTCCTTAGTAATAAGGATCATTTTTACTTACTTGATAGCCTATTGCTGCTTTACATTTAGCAGAAAATCTATCGTGTTTCATTACTGACAAATATTAATGAAAGAATCTCTCTGAATTCCGACAATTGAATTGTTATATAGGTTGAGTTATCTTCTTAAGTCATAGAATATTATAGTAATAAGGATCACTTACTTTTACTATAGATCGTCTTTTATATTTGACATTGACAAATAATTATGATATAATTATTTTCGTGGACCTTGGACGAATTCATGAAATGTATATAGCTGCCTGATCCAAACTAAAATTATCTCCCTTATGTAGAAAAAAGTTGTTTTGAAATGTAACCAAAAGAAACAATATTTAATTAAATTGCTTGTGGAAACAATTAAGCATTTAAAATGCTGTTTAAATACAAAACAAAAGCTTGAAGAAAGAATCGGGAATTCTGCGTTATTCATCGTTTAGAACATAAATCGTTAAATTTAGAAGTTAAAAACTGTGTTGTTTTAAGTACGCTAATGACGAAAACAGATGGTATTGTTTTCCCTTAATGGATTTTACTGTAAAGAAGCTTGATCTAAGCTTGATCTGTGTTTGCATCTTTGGAACATTTTTTTTTCACATTATTAAATACACATACTACTTTCATATTCTTAAATACTATACTACTACACATACTTATTATTTATATTCAATAGGAATTTGTAGATTGAATAGTTTTACATTAAATTTGAGTAAACTTGTATGATACCCAAACACATATATTGTTATTCAATTAATTTAATTTATTATAATTAATTTCTACTGAAAGTTCTGAAGGGAAAAAAAGTCATATATTATGCAGTGGCCTGTAATATACCAATGAAGTTCCACAATGACCAAGCAAAAGCAGATGAAGTTCTGTTGTTGATTCTATGGTTGAGATCTTGTATAAGGCAGCAGTTTTTAATTTTTAAGAGCGTTACGTAGATATATGATTGCATGCATTAAGAATTATGGGCAAAACCATTATATATATATAAACTATGGGGAAATCATTATAAGACCATTTTTATCATTCACAACTCTTATTAATTTCTCATTTTGATTTTACAACGTCTGTTTTTTTTTGGTTTTGTCTGGTCTGGCATTTTAAAGGTCTGGTTTTATTCAAGCTTTAAAGTATCCTCACTTTTGGCAGAACAATTAATAATTTCTTGCAGTTTGATTGAATAAACAATTAATTGTCCAATTGATTGAAAATTTAAATGTTTAATTAATTGAAAAATTAATTCTTTGTTTAATTGTTAATTATTTACTATTTACTTTAACGAATAATCCATTTTTACCGAATGAAAAAGTTCAAATGTTGTATGCAGAGGAAACCAAACTTTAATATGTAATCAGGAAATAATAGGCAGCCTAATGGCCAATTGACTAGCTATCTGGCCTTCGGTACCACAGGCTTCAGGTTCATGGATGTTTGGTACTGGTTCGGAATCCACGTTAAACTGTAGATCCCGGTCTACTTAACCCAAAGTGTGCACAAAATGACAGTAGAGCGATAAACCAAAACAGGAAATTACGGTAAATTAAAATAAGTTTATCCATAATGCTTTCTGATTATGTGAAATTGTAAGCTCTATTTTATTTAATTCAAATTCCAACTTATCAATTGTGCTTAGCAAATAGATGCTTCAAATCTTTTGGAAAAAGCAATCACCATTTCGGAGAACTTGCTTTAGTATATATTCCAAAGGTGTGGTCCCAGGTATACATTGCAGAGCACGGGTGAAATTTGCTTGTATGCAATCATTAATTATCGCGGTAAAAAAACAAGAATTTTTGCAAACAGTCATACCGTCAACAGTCAAACATTTTAGCAAGGCCATACCATTTTTCATTAAAAGAGAAGAAAGTTTTATTAAGTTATGATAAAACGCTGAAAGTATTCGCGATGAAGATGTTTTTTAAAAACCCTTTGAACAGCCTTCTTAAGTTTTATTTAACTATTACAAGATTTTAATAGCTAGAAGTTACTTAAATAAAAATAATCCTTGCGCAGGGTTCATGCTAATCTAGTACAGAAATAATAGGGCCTGATGCCCGAGTGACTAGCGTTCTGGTGCACGATGCCATAGATTTCGAGTCCCCCGGGTGCCATGGATGTTTGTGGTGGTTCGGAATCCACTTTATATTGTTAGTTCCAGCCTAATATGACTGTTATGTGTAAGGGACAACCTTCGTCCTAAAAAAGATATCTACTGCCTTGGTCCACCATGGGGCTGTTGTGTTACTGAAGATTGGTTTAATTTGTCGCCCTACGGTCATTTTTCACACTCTTTGCGCTAAATAGAGCGGCACCTACTGTTTAACGTGGATTCCGAACCACTGGCAAACATCCATGCCACCTCCAGGATTCGATACTGAAGCCTGTAGTACCAGAGGCCAGAGCGTTAGCCAATTGACCATCAGGCATCTGTGTCACTGAACAAGAAGTATAGAATTACCGAAATTTAAAATAAAAATTGTTTTTATAGATAGACGTTTCGGGCCTGATGGCCGAGTGGCTAGCGTCCTGGAGCTCGGTACCACAGGTTTCGGGTTTAAATTCCGGCGGTGCCATGGATGTTTGTAATGGTTCGGAATCTACTTTAAGCCGGAGGTCCCGGTCTCATATGATTGTAAAAGCATGACGGAGCATCAGACTTCCCACCCACAACATTCCCAGCTATAAATAGGCAATTCAGTTCTAGTCACAGTGATGTGGTGTGGTGTGGTGTGGTGTGGTGTGGTAGTAGTAGTAACTAGACCTTTTTCAGAATTTTATGCAATTAAGTTTAATTAAAGTACAAAAACTTATCCATATTTACAGTTATTGTTGAGTAAAAAGTGTTTTAAATCTAAAGCTAATTGAGCTTTGTAATCCTGATCAATTATAGAACAGATTTTTTTTCCATTGATTCCTAAAAATTATTTCTTTTAATGTAAAAAAAGCTTTGTAAAATATTTCATCCTTTTAAATGTAATAAATTAAAGTACAAGAATATTTTTGGGATTGAAATCGTTATTCATTACACATATCACTATGGATGTAAATATTTATTTTCTAATCTTTGTTTCTAATCTAATATCTAAATCTTTGTTTTCACAGTAATTGCTGCAGCATGGGAATGTACCTACCTATCTGAGCAAATTCTGCTATCTGAACTATCCTATCGAAGCTATCTGAACTTCAATAAGAGTTCATGTAATTCTTGTCGGAAATATAGATTAGAATCGTTTTTATCATGTGAAATACTAATTTTGCCTTGGTATGAAATCTCTAAGCAAATATGAACCTAACAAATATAATATTACTTCTGCTTCGTGGATTGGCTCTGGTTATTGAAAAAGTTTTCATATGACTGCGGATATTAATTTTTTAGATTTTCTTATAAACTCACAATTAGCTTATACAACATTAACGGTTCCAACAGGTTTCGGGTTCGAGTCCCGACCGTGTCATGAATGTTTGTAGTAGTTGAGAATCCACTTTAAACTGTAGGCCCTGTCTGTTTAGCCCTCGTGTGCACAAGATGGCCTTAAAGCGACAAATCAAACGAAACCAAATCTACAGCATTAATTGACTGTGATTAGTGACAGCTAGGTAGATTTGTGGCATTATGTGCGAGTATATGACCCATAGAGAAATAATAAAATTAAGCGCTCATAAGTTTGGATGAGGGCCAGTTTGAAGTCATCATGCTCGTTATGTGACGGACGCATACTTCAGCAAACGGCTTGGTGATTTTATCATTGATTTGATTGGGACTCGCCTCATTGTTTTGCACTGAAAAATTTCAATATGGTTATGTATGGGCATGTTTAGAAATTTGTGAAAGGATGTCAAATATATTAAATATGGCTAACAAATACATCAAAGTCTCTATCTATAAAGGCTTTTCATTTTTACGTAGAAATTGATTTATTTATTTGTTATATTGAATAAGTATAAAATGTTTTCAAGGCAATTTTATTTAGTATTTGCTATTCATATCTTATATCGTCATTTTTCTTATAACCTCACAATTAGCTTCTATAGCATTAATTGGATGTGATTATTGACAGGTTGGTAGGATTTGTGTTATTATGTAAGATCATATGACCCATAGGGAAGTAATAAAACAGAATATATATAAATTTTCATAAAGATCAAATTGAAGTCAACATGCCCGTCATGTGACGGACGTATACTTCAGCAAACTACTTGGTCGTTTTATCACTGACTCGATTGTTTTGCACTGAAAGATGATTCAATATGGCTATGTATGGGCGCGTTGAGAAATTTGTGAAAGACATGGCAAATATAATAACTACGTAGAAATTGATTTATTTGTTATATTGAATAAATATAAAATGTTTTCAGGACATTTATCCTCGGTATTTGCTAATCGTATCTGATTTTTATCAAGGCTTGTATCATAATGTAGGCTTGGTTTGATTTGGTTTGTC